ATGCCACCCACTAGGCTCAATTTACAGTCACTTAGCATTTATTTTCAATAATAACTTTTCTTTTTTATTCACACATATACAATATCTATAAGGTCATTTAATAAGGGCTCAAAGCACAATTTGATTAACTTTTTATTCAGTTTACACTTCCACACTGCTGTTTATCAACAAAGAAAGTCAGGCCTGGAACTCAAAACAGGTCAGGAAGCAGGAGCTGATGCAGAGGCTATGGAGGGATGTTACTTACTGGCTTGCTTCCCCTGACTTGCTCAGCTTGCTTTTTTATAGAACCCAAGACTACCAGTCCAGGGATGGCACCAGCCACAAAGAGCTCTCCCACCCTTGATCACTAATTGAGAAAATGCCGTACAGCTGGATCTCATGGAGGCATTTCCTTAAGGGAGGCTTCTTTCTCTGTAATAACTCCAGCTTGTGTCAAGTTGACACACAAAACTACTAGTACACCCGGTTTTGAGTCTCTTTTATTTTTAAAGAAATTGAAAGTGCTCTCCAGAAAGGAAATCAAGCATTCTCTCAGGAGGACCACCCTCTGAGTGTAGAGAGCCCCAGAAGGGGAGACCAGGATCTCTGGTTTTTAATCTTAGATGTGGCTCATGCAGAGATTAATTTGCTTTGAACTTCTCTGCTGGTATTCTTGGTACCCCTCTGACTTAAAGAGACTTTGCAGATGACTAAATGGCTACTTTGTTGTTTTGCTTTTTGAGACAGAGTATTACTTACTGGTAGGACTCGCTGGCTTAGAGCTCTTTGTAGACCAGGTTGATCTTGAACTCAGAAAGGTCTGCCTGCTTCTCCTTCCTGAGTGCTGGGATTAAAAGAAGTATGCCACCACACCCAGACTCCGTGTTTACATCTGTCAGTCAGAATCAAGAAGAAGGAAACGAATTGGGGTAAGGACAGGGCAGTGAAATAGAAACAAGGAAAGGGTCGCCTTCTTGAGAATGATCCGAGTAGGTGTTTCTGGGATAGGAAAGGTAAATCACGGGCGGATCCCTAGGCTGGGATGAGTACGCAATGACAAAGTTGAGGGATGGGGCAGCCATTTAATGTGCCAGTAACATCCACAATGTGAATTGAAGTGGCCCTGAGCAGCTGAGGGTAGCATGGAGCATACATCTGTGGTGGAAAATGACCAAAACAGGTAACAAAACAGCAGTATTTTTGGTTGACCAATTACCATGAGGTTTAGCAAAAGCAGACCCACGTGTCTTATGTAGAACTGTGGAGAGTTTCTATTTACAGACTCCTGAGTGGAAAAACCAGGCACATTACTGAGTTCCCCAACTTCTCGTTCTCTGATTGGAAATTCACTTTTCCCTAGTTTCTCTGCTGTCAACATGTACTGTGTTTTGTTTTTTTTTAAAGTCAATTTAAAGGCAGACAGACTTGCTATGACTAATGTCAGAACTCCCAAAGCTGGCTTTTTCCAAAAATACATTGTAATTGATAGTACTACAAGCTCAGTGTAAAAGGGCTGTGACACAACTTTTGGCCCCAGGCTGAACCAGATGTTTCCTGTTGGTTCAAGCACAGCAGGAACATCTGCAGGTCTCTATATTCCTTCACTGCTCTTGCTATGGCACGTTAAATGTCTTAAATCAGACTTCTTTATAAAGTGAATGTTTCCAATGGGTATATCCAAACTATCTACCTTAATAATTCTTATTTTCCCCCTTTAGTTTCTAAGAAGTTGTTGTAGGAAAAAAATGAGACTAGAAGTAAAGATGGGGACACACACACACACACTCACACACACACACTCACACACACACTCACACACACACACAGGAAAAGAACTCAGGGCCTCCCTCCCACATGTCAAACATGAGCTTAACCACTGAGCTACATTCCCTTTGGAGAAAATTTATTTTGAGACAATGTTTCAACTACATTTCCTGTCTCAGGTTTCCAAGCAGTTGACCTTATAATTGTGTACCACCACTCTAGACATAAACACTTATTTCTGAATGAACATATCTTTATGTCCTTTGGGAAATTTTTTCTTTTTCATTTTTAGGTTTGTTTAGACAAGTCTTGCTGTGTTGCCCAGAGTGTTCTAGAACGCTCTCTGTAGCTCAGGGCTGCCTCAGCCTTGCAGCCCTTCTGCATGTGCCTCTGGGATTACGGGCACGCACCATCATGCCTAGCTTGCCCAAATTAGGTTCTTGGTTTCTTTGGGTTGTTGTTTTGAAACAGGGATTTCCTCTGTGGCCCTGGCTGTTCTGGAACTCATGCAGAACAAGCTGGCCTCCAATTTTCGGTACTCCTGCCTCTGCCTCCTGAGTGCTAGGATTACAGACGTGCTACCATACTCAGCTCCAAAATTAGTTTTGAAAAACTGACCTTTTAGTCAAGTTAGTTTCCCAGGCTTAGTTACCTTGAGTTAAGGGGAAGGTTGGAGACACAGGAAGTAATGATTATCTTTCAAAAGTTCACAAAGGGATAATAGGATTGCATTCATGCAGAGTGCTCAATTAATTTTACCAGGAGGTCAACTGTCGGAAAGAAGCAATAGGCAAAAAGAAATATCACCATTTACCTAGTGTTTACTTTGTACCATTCAGAAATCATGTCCTGCATTTAATCTGATGCTGTATTATCATCTTTTGATAATATGTGTGAACTAAAAGGTTCAGAGAAGTTAACTAGCTTACTGAAAGCAACACAACTAGCAAACATCCAGGAAAACCAGAAACTCAAACTCTGACCTGTCTGGCAACGTGTTAAACAGAAGATGGCAATTGATTGGCCCTATACTCCTTGGGCTGCTAGTTCAATTACTTTCCTGTACCAAGTGTGACTTGTTTCCTTTAAGAATTATAGCTATGCGGTGCTGGAAGGATGACTCGGTGGTTAAGAGTGCACATTGCTCTTCTAGAGGACCTGAGCTGGGTTCTCAGCACCCACATGGGTGGCTCACAACTGCTTGTAACTCCAGCTCTAGGGGATCTGGGATCTGACACCTTCTTCTCTTCCTTGGATAGGTACTGACCAGAATGCTTCCTTCTTGTTGACTACCTTTCATAATACTGGAAGGTGCTATGCCAGTTTCAGAGGGAAATAATGTCCAGATGTGAACCCCATGAGCCACAGTAACAACTGGCTTGGCAAGACAAGTGTTACATGAGTACAGTAGTGTCATGAAAATTATGGAAGCAACCAACTGCTTCCTGGCTGGGCTGAAATTCTACTCTACCGGATAAATCTGGCCAAGATCCAGCAGCTGGGACACTCATAGGCTTAGAAATCAATCTACTGCTGTTATTTTGTTAAATGGACATAGTATCAGACTGCCTTGTAAGTACTTCTCACTAAACCAACAGATTAGTGCAACTCTCAGCCCTCTCCAGAGAAGCTTCTTTTTGCCTTCTTTTTACAGGGTCACATCTGGTCAGAGTGCAAAGAATTAATGTCTGTGGAGTGCTCAGCCATAAAGGGGACATCTATATTATGTCACCTCCACCCAAGACTCAGTGAACACTGAGGAGGAGGAAGAGGTGGTAGAAGGATTGTTAAGAGCTAGAGATCTGGGATGACTGGACTCTTCTGGACATGATCACTGCACTCACGAATTTACAGCAGCCATGGTTGCCTGTTAAAGAGCTGTGCAGGAACAAGCAGTCAACATTCCAGTGCACGCAGAGCATAGAAGCCCCGCCCCTAGCTGAAGAGCTATTGGCCTTAGATGGCTTCCAGAATGAGTCAGTTTTCTTTAGAGATGGGTCCCTGACCATGCTCTAGTGAATGGTCTCACACCCAAGCATATGTGGACACTAACTGGATTCAGTGGATTAAGAAACAACCAAAAAGAGGCCATGAATTTTCGAGGGCATCGAGAGGGATGTGGGAAGAGTTGGGTGAGAGAGGGTGAATATGATTCAAATATATTGTATGCATGTATGAAATTCTCAAAGAATAAAAAAATCACAGATATATTTTTAATAGTTATATATATGAAACTGGGCTCGGTGTTAAAAGCCTGTAAACTCGTCACTTGGGAGGTGGAGGAAACAAAATCGAGTTCAAAGTTAACATCAGCTTGAACTTTATGAGACCTTGTTTCCAATAACAAACCAAATTTGTAAGAACTGGCTTCCACTGAACATACTCATAGTGTCGATACTGAGACAGGGCTGCTGAGCTTTCCGTGTCTAACTGAGCGGATCAGTCAATTCCATGGCAGCCTGAACTACAGAAACTGTCTCAAAAAGCCTAAACAAACAAACAAACAAACAGAACACTCATTCGTTTAGTGGGGCAGGGAGACAAGATGGAAGTCTCAACAGCCTTAGCTGTGATCATACTGAAAACTAGCTTCTGAAACTTTGAATTTGGTGATTTCTGCATCCCTTCTTTGGTCGTTACAACTCTTTAAGATTCGGTTCTCACAGTCAGTTTACAGACAATGAACTGGGTGTTTTGGATTCTTAAGGAAAGTCGCTTAGACTGGATGTGGTGGTGCACGCCTGTAAACATCTGTAATCTCACTACTGGGTGGGGGTGGGGGGAGTTGAAGCAGAAGGATCTCCTGAGTTCTGACCAGCTAGAGCTACGTGTTGAAAAACTATCTCAAAACCAAACTAAAACCAAACAAAAAAAAAGAGAATCACTTAAAATTCTGGAACGAACTAAATTGGTAAACCGGAAAGCTTTTCCCATTCCAGTGAGGCTATTTGTTAATGATACTGATCAAGTGGTGGTGGTAGCTAGCCGTGTAAACCAGAGGGCGTCGCCCTCACACGTCAGCTCCGCCCCTACAGTCCTCGCCCCAGATTGCTACCCCGGGAGCCCTAAGCCGGACTTTGGGCGTGCCGGGATGCACGAATGTCCGGTGGATCAGGAGCCCCGGGAGCGAGTACACCGGACGGATTAATGGGCACGTACCGGAGCCCGGGGCCAGAAACAAAACACTGGCTTCGGGACCCCTCCCCCGGAAGTGACGCGAGGCTTCGGCGTCGGGGAAGGGCCCCGGCATTGCCGGGGGGGTTTGAGAGTGGCGGAGGCCGCGGAACGACGGGAGACGGCGGCCGTAGAGAAGAGCGTCGAGCGCACGCACGGCGAGTGGCAGCTTAACTAGCCATATCGCCGTCTCGGCCGCGTGTGCGAGGGCGGAGGGCGGGGCTCGAGACCTGCGGCAGCGGGAGATGCGGGCGGCTGCAGGCACGCGACAGGCTCGGCTCGGCCGCCGCCGCCGCCTACTCGGGCCCCGGCGCGGGGGTCCCCGCTGTTTGCCGCGCTGTCTTTGAGTTCCTATTGTGAGGAGCGGTCGGTGACGTAGTCTAGCACCACATTCAAGCCCGAGAAGGATTCCTGTGTTCTGCCTGGTGAGCTGCACACCCACGCCCCGTCGGGGTCTCGCACCACCGCCCCTCAGCCTGGTTCGGCGCGGGCCGGGCGGAGGTTGCGGGCGCGGCAGGAAGTGCACCGGACGGTGGGAGGGGTGGAGCTTGGTGGTGGGAGGGCGGGACCTGGTGCGTGGGCGGGGCCTGCTGGCGCGCTCTGCTTGGGAGCAGCTCCGCGGAGCTCAGGTGCTCGCCGGAGCGCCCCCTCCGCCCTTCCCGCACCACGGTGGGTCGTGCGAAGCCCCTTGGGCGGAAAGTGGCAGCGGTTTTTGTTGCCTGGGTGGGGCGGAGGGGAACAGTTTTAACTTGTCGTAGTGGCAGGAAGTTGGAAAGTGAAAGTGCTTTCTTGGCTCGCCCACGGGCCGGAGGTTTGCGTCTCCCCGCACTTTGATCTCGGGGCGCGCGGCCTCACGCCGCTTTCTTCCCTTCCCCAAGCTCGCTGTCCATCCGGCCACAGGTTTTTCGTTCTCTACTTTTCAGCAGTCTTCCTCGCTTCCTGTACAGCTGTGGCAAGCTTTTCCTCGGAAAAGCATTGGAAACGTCTTGGGGAGTGGGGGAGGAATCTTAACGGGCATCGGCAAGAAATAAGGGGAGCTTGTTGGGTGAACTCAGAAGACACAGTTGTTTTTTTCTCGAGCCGATGCAGTTTTCAGGTTAGATCATTAAGTAAGATTCTTTCAGCAGAACGGCTGTCATTCTAGGGTCGACAAGAACGATGTGTCGTTCTAGGATCAGAGCTCTTCTCCCTCTTTCTTTTCTCCCATGCACAGAACGTGGAGCTTCTGTATTTCCGGTTAGGAGTGGTGTTTTTGTTAAAACAGTATGATCCAACTTTTCCTTGTAGGAACTCTTTGTTCTTTGATCCTTGGTTTTATTTTAAAATGGAAACTGCTTACGTGGAGTTTATTACTTTTTTTGGGGGGGGAAATATCGCCTTAAGTTTTGGGATACCGTTTAATATTTGAGGCAGGGGATGTACTGTGTTCAGTCACCAGCACAAAAAGGAAAAATACATTTAATATCCGCTTGTGGCTCTCACCGTTGTTCTCTCCCTCCTGCCCTTCCTTCTTGTGCTAGATATCAAAACCAGGGTCTGCATCAGGTGTTCATCAGCTGATGTGCACTCCAGGATCCCCTGGTCTTTTCCCCTCGCACTCTGAGAAAGGTAGCAGCAGTTTTGTTTCCCTAGGTTCAGTGCTGGCCATCTGACCTGTGTTCTCAAGCATGCTAGACAAGACAAGCACTCTACCACAGAGCTGCTCTCCAGCTCCTGAAGCCCTCTTTTTCAATGTAGCTTAGAGATTGGTCTTTGAGTCTTAAACCTTTCCCAGCATTTAACCTGTTGACGATCAGACACCATCGTTTGGGTCCATTTAAGTCTGCCTCCGTTATGCTTCTAAAGAACCTTTTGAAGCTGTGATTGTTAGTACTTAGTGTCTCTGTTTTTGTACCTGTATCGTGTCTGTCTTGTTCCTCACTGTTGATAAGTAGCCCAGGCTTCATAGCCACAGTCTTCCCTGCTTCATCAGGAGAGCACTTCTACTGGGCTCCTGGACTTTTTGGGTGGGAGGGTCTCAAGTTTATCTCATGTAGCCCTAGCTGGCCTGGAGCTCAGATCCAACTGCCTTTGCCTCCATACTGGGATAAAGATGTGTGCCACCATGTTCTCTGTCAGAGTTGAGGAAGTCATTGAGGTTCACTTGTAGGAGCTAAAATGAAGAGTTTCAACGGTGTCTGTAGGAGTTCTTTGAAAGAGTAGCCTGACACAGAAATTGAGGGTTGAGGGTTGTATTTCAGTAGTAGAGCCCACGGTTACTGTGTGAGACCTTGGATTTGATCCTTAGCATAACTGATTTTTTGGTGCTGTGTTTTTGGGCTTTTTTTTTTGAGCCATGGTCTCATAGAGGTGAGGGTGGCCTTGATCTTTTGATTTTCTGCTTCCTAAGTGCTGAGACATACAAGGTTATTGTAACAGACGGGTACCCTGGAACTTGCTGGCTTGGACTCACAGAGATCTACCTGCCTCTGTCTGCTGAGTACTGGAATTAGAGGCGGGTTCTACCAGCTAAGGCTCTTGAGGCATTCCTGATGTGAAGGTAATGTCTGAAATGTGTTCTTCCCTTAGGCTCCTAGTTCCTGGAGTTAACAGGCTGCACTAGGATGTAATTGCCAAAGTTGGAGAACTACTAATAAAAAAGGAACTTGCCATAAGAATAGACATCATCAGAAAAAAAAAAGTTTGGTGTAAACTCAGAACAGTGACAGGATTGCCCCTCACCTGCACACTTACTGGAAATGATAAACACTATTTTAACTCAGCTTAAGTGACGCTGTGGGGAAGATGTCCAGTGAGCTGGTTACTTAGGACAAGAGGATCTCTTTGTGGATTGCTGTCACTCAGTCTCTGCTGTTTAATGTTGGCAGCACTCTTGCTGGGCGGAGAAGAGGTTCCTCTCCTGGGTAGAGGAGTGGGTGACTGAAGGGATTCAGTGCCTGGGATTCCTGCAGTTTCACCATCTGCTCCGACTGGGAGGCATCCCTTTTATTTCACTGTCTCTGCTTTTGGATCACAGTGTCTGCACAGACAGTGTCAAAAGTGGTAACTAAAGATGACTGGAGGGTATTTTCATGCTTGAGAGAAATTCTAGAAACCCAAACAGTTTCCTAGCTGGTGCTCACTGATCTGCCCTCTGAGTCATATGTTGTTAGGCTTAGTTTTCTCATGCCTGAGTTGTGTAACTCAGTTACGTTAGGCTTGTTTGTCTTAGACATCTTCATTGATGTCTCCCATCACCTGCCGAGAACACAGAGTTGAGTGAGTGTGTTGTAGTGTATACAGAATGGAGTCACAACAATCTTAGTTGAGAGTATTTTCAGCCACCCTAAAAGAAACCTTGTGCTCATTGGTTTCCTTTGCCAGTTTTATTTTCCACTCCTTCTGCTGGATGTCTCTACCTCAGCTGGCTCAAAAGTCTATAGACGGTCAGATCTGAGTATTTCCTGTTACTGGCCCTTTGTGGCTATGGCTGCAGCTGGGGCTTCTACTTTTGTCATGTTTTCAAGGTTCATGTATGTTGCATCAGTACTTAATTCCTTTTTTGTTAAAGAGTGGATGTGTGTGTGTCCATGTCTCTGTCCATGTGGGCGTGTGTGTCTGTGATTGTGTGTGCATGTGTGCGTGTGTGCTTGTGTGCAGCATGATGTACCAGGACAGCCCTCAGGTGTTAGTCCTCACCTTCCACCTGGTTTGACACAGGGTCTCTGTCTACTCCAGCCAGCTGCCCCTGAGCTGCTGGGGATTCCCCTGTGCACCTCACATCTCTTTGGGGCACGGTGTTAAAGGTGTTCGTTACTGCTCTATGTAGATTCTGTGCATTCGAACTAGGTCCTCATGGTTGTATGCAAATGCTTTAATAACTGAGCCATCTTTCTGCCCATCTTGATTTCTTTTAATGGCTGAATAATATTCCACTGTGTAAGTGAACTATAGTTTATATTCCATTCATAAGTTGGATGACATTTGAATCAATTTCACTCAGGTTTTAAGATAATTTTCCTACGGACATTCCTGGGGTGATCTATTGTTTTGAGACAGAGTTTTACAGTGTATTTCTGGCTGGCTTGGAACTTGCTATGTTGACCAGGCTTCACTGTGCTCAGAAAACTCTGCTGGCCTCGGCCTCCTAGTCCTGAAATTAAAGGCATGTGTCACCATGCAGTTCTTCTGTGGACATGCTTCCACTATCTAGATGTGTACCTGGTCACATGGTAAATGAGGCTGTAGAGGTATTGCATTTAAATTTTCTACCAGTAAAGTGTGAGTTTCAGTTTCTGTCTTTGTCAGCTTATTGTTGCTCTTTCTGCTTAAAATAGTCATGTGGTGTTTTTGCTTGTTTTCAAGTTCTGTTCCCTATTATGAATGATGGGGAGATCTTTCTGTGTGCTTAGTGACTATTTTCAGCTTTTCTCTGGAGAGATACCTGTGCCTGCCTTTTCTTTTTATGCTATAAGAGTTATTTACTTACTTGGGGTGCAAGTACCTTTTATGACACATGATTTTTTGAGAGGGTTTTTGGGGTTAGAACATTCAAAGGGAATTGTCTTCTTGCTTGCTGATATTCACAGCATGATTTAAAATTTTGATATAGTTTAATTTGCCTGTCTTTGTAGTGTTTTAGTAGAATTGACTTATCTTCAAATCTTCTTCTGACCCACTGGATTTCATTCCTAGAGAAAGGGGGTGTTTTCTGATTTTAATTAATTAATTAATCTTGGTTTTTCTTCCTTTTTAAAAGATTTATTTATTTATTTTATGTATGAGTGTACCACCATTGCTCTCTTCAGACACACCAGAAGAGGGCACCAGACCCCATTACAGATGGTTGTGAGCCACCATGTGGTTGCTGGGAATTGAACTCAGGATCTCTGGAAGAGTAGTCGGTGCTCTTAACCTCTGAGCCATCTCTCCAGCCCTAATCTTTTTTTTTCAAGACAGGGTTTTTCTGTGTAACAGTCCTGGGTGTCCTGGATTTCACTCTGAAGATCAGGCTGGCCTTGAACTCACAGAGATCTGCCTACCTCTGCGTCCCAGATGCTGGGGACTGAAGGTGTGCACCACTGCCATCTGGCCCTGATTTTACATTTTATGGAAGGTGTTCAGTCACTTTGTCACATATAAGTAAACATGTTGATTCTGTCAGAGCTGCCATTTGAATTCTTCTTGTAAAGTTCTGTGAGGAAAATGTCTCTGAGACAGCACTACCTTGTTGTGTGCTGCCTGGCAGAGTGGTTGTCAGCTGGGATGATTTGACTGCAGAGATCGTCTCAGTGGCAAGGGTACTAATGTCTAGTGGATGGAAGCCAGGGTCCTGGTACTGTTGAACTAGCCCCAGTGCTCTGGACAGTCCCACAGCACAGGATTAGCCAGCTTTAGTGGCAGGCTTGCTGGAATTGGGATGGGAAACTCTGGCCCGAACAGGAAGACTCAAATATTGAAAGATTTTCCTCCTGTTCTTGTTCTGAGACTGCAGACTGAAACAGGAACAGAACTGCAGACTGGATTGGGGAGCATTTGTTGAATTTTCAGTGCTGCCAGTTTGTAAACTACCTTGCTATGATGCTTAACTGTTTGGAGGAGAAATACCAGTTGGACTAGGAACAAATTGTTCCCTCCACGTCAGCCTCCTGGCCACCCCGAGACGCACGACTTGTCAGGGAAGCACAGTGGGCTCTATTAGCTGTGCATTGACCTGGAGGTCTTCTAAGAGGATGTGATGATAGTAAGACTTAAGGTGAAAGTTAAGAACTGACCCTCTGTTGACTCCAGTCCTTAGCTCAGGCCTATCATTTATGGAACTAGCTTTATTTTGTGTGAAGCCTCCTGCTGTTTAAAGTGCCTCAGGCGGGCACCAGTCATCACTGCTGAGCCAAAGCCAACCATGCTTAAGACTCTGAGGCTAGGGACTGGAGAAATGGCTCAGCAGTTAAGAGTATTTTTCTGTTCTTGGGACCAGAGTTTGGTTCCAAACACTCATGTCTAGCACTCCAGCTTGGGGGAAATGACACCCTCTTGTGGCCCCTGTGGCCACTACTTTCATATCCAAAAATGTACACTCAGACACATAATTTCAAATTAAAAAATAAAAAAAGATTCCTTAAGGGAGCTGGTCATAGTGGTACACAGTTATAATTGCAGTACTTGGCTGGCTGAGGCAGGAGAACTGTTGAGTTCAAAGCCAGCTGAGGCCTCACAGGAAGCACTGTCAAAACAAAACCTTGGTAGCATACCAAATAGGAGAGTGTGGACTCTGGATTCAGGTGGCTTAGGCTTAAATCTCGGTGTTATTATTTGCTGTGTGTCCTTGGACAAGCTACTTAGCCCTCTAGTGATCTCCTTTTTTGGTGTGTGTAACGATGGTGGAATAGTTTGTATCTTGCAGGAGTGTTGTGCAGGGCACCTGGAACACTTACGTCTCACCTCTCTATGCTCTTTCAGCCCATTGCTATGGACAGTGCCATCACTCTGTGGCAGTTCCTTCTCCAGCTCCTGCAGGAGCCTCAGAATGAGCACATGATCTGCTGGACGTCTAACAATGGGGAGTTCAAGCTACTGCAGGCGGAGGAGGTGGCTCGTCTTTGGGGGATTCGCAAGAACAAGCCTAATATGAATTATGATAAACTCAGCCGAGCCCTGAGATACTACTACGTAAAGGTAAAATACCTGCCCTGACCTGGGTGCTATGCAGAGAACCTCAAAACAAGACTTAGTCTTTGTTTCTGTTGAGATGTTGAGTACTAGTATGGTCTGTTTAGTACAGTTTATTTAATAGCTTCAATGGTTCTGTCCGTAAAAGTTTTTTGATGTTGTATTTATTGGTGCACATGTACATGTGGAAATCAGAGGACAACTTGAGCTGGTTCTCTCCTCTCATACGGATTCCAGGGATCAAACTCAGGTTGTCAGGTTTGGTGACAAGCACTTTAACCTGCTGAGTGACCTCGCTGGGTGTACTCATTTTTATTTTACATGGTGTCTTTACCTGCATGGATGTCTGTATCTTGTATACAGTGGCTTCAGGTGCCAGAAGAGGGCATCACCCCCTCCCTTAGAAATGGAGTTACAAACAGTTGTTAGCCACTTGACATGGGTGCTGGGAACTGAGGGTTCATGCTCTAAACCACTGAGCCATCTCTTCAGCCCCTTAGATATTCTTTAAAGAGAAAAGTTTAAGATTGGAATACAAAGAAGGAAATTGGAAATGCTTGAGAATAAATACTCCTATGTATGTCATAATTTACTTTAAAGATTGTCATTTAGGGATGCAGTTCAGTTGGTAGGCTGCTTGCTGACATTCGTGAAGCCCTGGGCTCAATCTCTGACACAGCATAAACTGGGCGCTGTGACACAAGCTTGTAATCGGAACACTGAGGAGGTATAGGCGGGATGACCAGAAGTTGATGACTTACCAAATGGGAAGCTAGACAGTAGAAGCTGGGGCGATGGCCCAGTTAGTAAAGTGTTCATAGTACAAGCCTGATGACCAGACAAAGGTTGCCCAGCAACCGTGTAAAAAACCAGATATGGTGTGCCTGTGCCTGTATCCTAGTGATGGGCAGGAGAGATAGGAGAATCCCTTGGGCTTCTAGCCAGTCTATATAAGTTGACATCCCTAATTGAGGACAACAACTCTTGTTGGCTTTTGACCTGCCTTCCATACACAGGCGCACACCTACGTTCCCACATGGGAAAACCCACATACACCTATGCACACAAAAAATTTCATCATATATACTTGTAGATTGAATTATTTGTTTAGTTTAGCCTAAGGAACACAAATTAGTACCTGAAATAGCTCTTGCCTGCCCCAGGTATGGTGGCTCACCTGTAACTCAGCACTTAAGAGGCTGAGGCAAGAGGATTGCCATGGGTTCTAGATCAGCAAGAGTAACTATTTAAAATTGAGTTGACTATTTCTTTCTCTTCCTCCTCCCCTTCTCTTCTTTCTCCTCTTTCTCCTCCTTTCTTTCTTTTTCTTTTCTTTTTTTTTTTTTTTTGGAAAGAGGGTTCTAATGTATAGTCCTAGCTACCCTGGAACTAGCTCCGTAGACCAGGCTAGCCTCAAAACCTGTTTCTGCCACTCAAATTTAGGGAATAAAGGCATGTACCATCACTGCCCAGCTAGTTGATTTCTTAGTTTAAATTATACTTAAACTTGTGTTATGTGTGTTAAGGACAGAGTCCACTCTTATGCCATGGCACATCTGTGAAGGACTGGGACAAGGGTTTTGTTTTTTAAAGATACATTTATATGTATTAGTGTTTTGCCTGCATGCACGTCTATGTGACACTTGTGTGCCTATTACCCAAGGAGGCCAGAAGAGGATGTCAGATCCCTTAGAACTGAAGTTATTGATGGTTGTAAGCTATCATAGGTGCTGAGAATCAAATCCATGTCCTCTGGTAGAGCAGCCGACACCTTACTTACTCATTCATTCACTTACTCATTTTGAGGCAAGGTCCTGGCAGTTCTGAATCTCTCTGTGTAGATTTAGCTGGTCTCAATGAACTTAAGAGATCCACCTGCCTCTACCTCCTGAATACCAGGGTTAAAGGTGTGTGTGCCACCACACCTACCTGTAGCAGCCAGGAGTCTTATCTTTTAAGCTGCCTCTCCAGTCCTCCAGAGGATAGCTTTTGAGGGTGTGCTCTCACTTCCCATTGTGCTTGTTGAAGCAGGATCTCATTTCTGCTGCTGAGCTGCATATTCCAGGCTAGCTGGCCTGCAAGTTTGCTGGCGGTTCTCCTGTCTCTGTCTCCATCTCTGTAGAAATGCTGGGATTGCACGGCTATTTTACACTATGCAGCTCTTTATATTCTGGGGGTCAAACTTGATTCTTCAGTTGTACATAGATAATACCCTTACCTGCTAAGCCATCTCCTCAACCCAAAATCATATCTTTTAGTATCTTATGACTTTGAATATTTACTTGGGCACTGGAGAAAATAAACATCTCCAAAGTATAGACTTAGAATTAGAATCCAAACTGTCTGTCTCCTGCAATTCTGAGAAGTTGATCTAACCAGCTTTCCCAAGGTCAGAATCAGTTGAAGGAATTAGGAACTTCACAACTGGCATGCTCTGAGACCCTTTAGCTTCCTCAGAATGCTTATAGCTTATGCCAGTGGGACTGTCTAAGACTGCAGTTCAGTGAGTTCTGACATAATGCAGGTACTTGGTTGAGAGCATCAGACAATTACAGTCTCAGCTTTTATGTGACATCTTAGTCCAGTTGCTAGTGAGGCTTTGAACTGCTTTAATTTCTCTGACCAAGGATGGTGCTTGATCTGGGTTGATAATGTAGATGCTTTTGACGTTTAAAAACTATGCCTAGTTCTCAAGTAGAGCACTTCCCTTATTTGAGGGAAACAGGTCCCCTTTTTCAAGACCTATGAGAGGTAATTTATATGAAAATATAAGGATGCTTATCTTCTCTACCTACAGAACATCATTAAAAAAGTGAATGGTCAGAAGTTTGTGTACAAGTTTGTCTCCTATCCAGAGATTTTGAAAATGGATCCACTGACGGTAGGCAGGATTGAGGGAGACTGTGAAACTTTAAATTCCCTTGAAGCCAGCAGTTCCAAAGATGCTGAGTGTGGAGGAAAGGAGAGGCCACCTCAGCCTGGAGCCAAGACATCTAGTCGCAATGACTACATACACTCTGGTCTGTATTCTTCATTTACTCTCAACTCTCTGAACACCTCCAATAAGAAGCTTTTCAAGTCAATAAAGATAGAGAATCCAGCGGAGAAACTAGCAGAGAAGAAAGCTCAGGAACCAACACCATCCGTGATCAAATTTGTGACAACACCTGCCAAAAAGCCGTCCATCGAGCCTGTCGCTGTTGCCTTTTCAACAAGCCCTAGTGTTTCTCCATCTTCTGAAGAAACTATCCAAGCTTTGGAGACATTGGTCTCTCCCACACTACCTTCCCTGGAAGCCCCAGCCTCTGTGTCCATTCTGGCCACCACCTTTAACCCCACTCCTCCAGTTCCATCCATACCCCTTCCTCTAAAGGAGCCTCCCAGGACACCTTCTCCACCATTGAGTTCTAACCCAGACATTGACACAGACATTGAATCAGTGGCTTCTCAGCCAATGGAACTTCCAGAGAACTTGTCACTGGAGCCTAAAAATGACGATTCAGCTTTGCCAGAAAAGGACAAAACAAATAACTCATCAAGATCCAAGAAACCCAAAGGGTTAGAACTGACACCCGCCCTTGTGGTCACAGGCAGTGACCCCAGCCCCTTGGGGATTTTAAGCCCATCTCTCCCAACAGCGTCTCTCACACCAGCACTCTTTTCACAGGTAGCTTGCTCTTTCTCTTAACTGTGACTGCATTCATTAACCCTTTAAGCCGTGTCTAGAATTAATACCTGCAAGATTCAATTTCTGTTAGTTAAGTTTGTCTTAGAAAGATTATATGTAAACCTGGGAAACTCATTTTTTTACCTTAATTAGAATCTTCAAAACAATAGAGATTTGATGTTTTATCTTTTAATTCCTTGTTCTTAGATGGATGATATAACTCAGATGGTAGGGTGCTTCCTAGCATGTACAGAGCCCTAGGTTCCATCCCCAACATTGTGTAAAGCAGGCATGGGGTCTGCACACCAGGAATCCCAGCACTCAGGAGGTAGAGGCAGGCAGATCAGAAGTTAAAGGTCATCCAGGTCATCCTTGACGTACATAGCCAGTTTGAGACTAGCCTGGGCTACCTGAGACCCTCTCTAAATAAAGCAGAACTCACTGATTTGCACAGTGTTCTACCTCCTCCCCTCAATCTGTTGCCATCAGGAGAAACCAGAAGAGACTGAGAACCTTGAGAGGAGGGATGATGTGGCCTTTGTAGTTAGCTTATCTAGTTACGTTAGGTATTAACTTGCTCACCTTGGACAGCTCTTGAACAAGACCACCCCAGATGGTCTGACATTATAGGTACTCAGCTGGTGCTCTGTAGTACCTGGATTTAGGTTTGCTAAGACCCTATAAAAATTTGGTTATAAAGTGATTATTGTGACCTTTATCTTTCCTAGATCGTAAAATGATTTCTGAGCTTTTCCTAATGATAAAATTTCAGCCATAGAGACGTTTGGAGAGGAGGTGATAGTATATGGATTCTGTTTGTGTCTGTGCAAGGGTGGAGCACAATCCTGGCAAGTTCATGAGCCATCTTGTGTATTGCAGACACCCATCTTGCTGACGCCGAGCCCCTTGCTCTCCAGCATCCACTTTTGGAGCACTCTCAGCCCGTTCGCTCCCCTGAGCCCAGCCAGACTGCAAGGTGCTAATACGCTTTTCCAGGTAAATTACCTGTGATGGGGAATGTTAAATGTGGAAATGGGCAGAAGTGAAAGCCCACTGTCCAATGTCATTGTCATATACCTCCCATTTGATGAATGTTTCACAGTCCACAGAGGGGTACTGGGTGCTTCTCCTTTTGGTACAGTGGGTGATTGGGGCCTGTCATTCTCAGTTGCTGCCCAGCATAGCAAGAAGCTTCCATACTGCATATTGCTAGCCCAGGAAAACACTGATGTTCAAGGCACAGCGTCTGTTGAATGCATATGACTTTTTCTGAGCTATGTGAAGTCAAATGACTGTAAGTCAGATAGTTTGTGTACATACACTAATGCGTGCACACACAGGGCCATGATGAGAATACATTTAGTGCATTTTGAATAGAATTACATACCTACACATATACACAACCTGTTCTCCTTGTTTATCCCTCTCCTGTTGTCTTCAGAACCCCTTGTTCCCCCCAACCCCTTACTACTTCCTCCTCCTACTTTCATGTCTTATTTTTGGGCCCGGGATTAGGATTACTTGCCTGTACATGAGTGAGTATGGGACTATACCCCTGAAAAGAATGAATGCTCCTTAGTCAGCAGCTATTAGCTATCATAGCTCCTCAGCTAGGATGGGGCCTCATGTGGTCCTTCCCTGTCCGTGCTGGAATGTTGACTTGCTTGACTTTGCACGATCTTGTGTGAGTAACGACAGCTGCTGTGAGTGTATGAATTCAGCACCAGGTCATTTTGAGAAGACAATATCTCTCAGCACTGTTCCCCATCCTCTGCCTATTCTCTCTGCCCCCTCTTCCACAGTGTTCCCTGAGTCTTGGGGTATGTGTGATATAGATGTCCCATTGATAGCTGTCACCATTACTGCATGCCACCAATACTTGGTCACTGTACTTCGACCAGTTGTGAGTCTCAATACTAACCATTATTCACTGCAAAAAGAAGCCTCTCTGGAGCTGGAGAAGTGGCTCAATGGTTAAGAGTGTGTACTCCTCTTGCAGGGGACCAGAGTTCAGTTCTCATCATCCTTTTTGGGGACCTGCACTCACAGATACAAACCTATACACATAGACACTTAATTAAAAAAAAGATGTGTCTCTTACAAGGGTCAAGAGCTGCATTCATCACTGAGTTAAGTATTTAGCAGGCTGTGTGATAGCATGTCCATTTAGCAAAGCAATAATAGTAGGTCCTCTTAAGACCTGTGACCTCCCCAGCTGTGGGCTTTTGACCAGGTTTACAGTACTAGGCATGGATTCCTTCCCATGGATCAGGCTTTAGAACTTAATTTAAAAAGTTGTTGGTTACTCCTATAATATTCATGGGACAGTAGTACCAGTGGACACATGTTGCCTGGCAAGTCAGTACTTCAGCATGTGAGATCCATTGCCAGGCAGGGGTGTCAAGGGCTTGTCTCTTCTCGTGGCCTGCACTCCATGTTCCAGCATTGTGAAAGCTAGCTAGTAGGGAGGACGTTTCCAGGTCAGTTGCAGCTTGGGTTCTCTGACCTGCAACCAAAGTGTGGTATCTGTAGGAATAAGTCTTTGCAACTGGTGGGCGGGCAGCCAAGAGCAGTAGCAATAGCCTACATTGTTTTGAGGGCCTCTGAGATCTCCTTGACCAGCAGTTCTTAAGGTTGGTATCCCATAATTGGAACTAGAATTTGTTTAATTACTCATGACTTCTGGGAATAGCACTGTCCACCTGTGATGCAAGATATCTTTATTCAATCTTTTAAAAAAATCATATTTTTAAATTATTTTACAAAGTAGTTGATTTCCATTAATACATTTTAAAAAAAGATTTATTTATTTATTATTTACTTATTTTATGTATATGAGTATACTGTAGCTATCTTCAGACACACCAGAAGAGGGCATCCAATCTCATTATGGATGGCTGTGAGCCACCATGTGGTTGCTGGGATTTGAACTCAGGACCTCTAGAAGAGCAGTCAGTGCTCTTAACTGCTGAGTCATCTCTCCAGCCCCTCCATTAATATTTTGTTAGGTTTTTTTTTTTTTTAAAGATTTTATATATATGACAAGTACATTGTAGCTGTCTTCAGACACACCAGAAGAGGGCATCAGATCCCATTACAGATGGTTGTGAGCCACCATGTGGTTGCTGGGAATTGAACTCAGTACCTTTGGAAGAGCAGTCAGTGCTCTTAACCGCTGAGCCATCTCTCCAGCCTGATTGTTAGGTGTTTTTTGAGACAGTGTTTTTTGTATAGTCCTGGCTATCCTAGAACTCACTATGTATACTAGACTGGCCTCAAACTCACAGAGATCCTCTTGCCTCTGCCTCCCAACTTCTGGGATTAATGGTATGTGCTAGTCTGGCTCCATTAAGAATTTTATAATACTTAATTTTGGTTCATCTCCCACTCCCTTTTTTTCCTGCCTAAACTTTTTCATTCTCAGGATCCCCTCCCCCACTTGCATGGCACATGTGTTCTACTGTTGATGGGGGCATGTTTTGAGTAGGGAATCAGTAAATGAGTTTTGTTTTATGCCATCATGTGCTTATGCAAACATGATGGTCTAGCCTGTTGTGCAAGATGAGAAATAATGCTGGAGATAGCCCCTCACACCTGCAACCCCAGCACTGAGGAGACTAGGGTATGATAGCAGTGAGTTTGAGCTGCATAGTTACAGGCCCCTAAGTTACAGTGTGACCCTGTCTAAAAACAAAGTGGGAACAGGAGATGGCCTGTCTAAGGCTCCTGATGATAAGAGGACACATCTATAATAATTAATAATAATAATAATAATAATAATAATAATAATAAGTGGTAAATATATAAACCAGTGACGCTTTTCCTTACTGGGTGTAGGTGCTGTACATAACTCTGGGCTGTGCTTTTGCACAAGTAGCACTACAATAGACTATTTACACAAACACCCAAGGAAAATGTACTAAGACTCTAGGATAGCTATCATGTTATTAGATTGTTTTGTTGATAGAAAGTTTCAGCTTCATTATCTTCTAGGACCCTTGATAGAACTGTGTGCTGCATGACTGGTACACACACCCTAGGGGGATGAGGCTGCCCATTGCTTTTCTCTCTTTAATTATTTGTTTGTAGGTTCCCTCTTTTAATTACTTTTTAAAAAAGATTTACTTGTTTATTTTTAAATATTAGTGCTCTGTCTGCATGTATACCTACATGCCAGAAGAGACCATCGGATTCCAGTATAGATAGTTATGAGCCACCATGTGGTTGCTGGGAATTGAACTCAAGACCTCTGGAAGAGCAGATAGTGTTCTTAAACGCTGAGCCATCTCCAGCTCCTCCATTTTTTTTTTTTTTAAAGAAGGAAGTCTTGAGAATATTGTAACAGTTACCTCTCATAATTGACACTTGTCAGCCTTTTCCTGCTGAGCCAGCCCTATATCAGCATTTTACACACAAAGTTTAGGAGATGAACTTTGTATTGTCTCCCGACCAGGATGTTAGGAAAGTTCCATGTTACAGTTTTACTTTTCCTATGTGGTGAGTGATTCTCCCCAGAAGAAATGGAGTGTTAGAGTGATCTGAAACCTTAAGCCTTTCCTAATGATGTTCCTAGAACTGTAGCCTAGAGCTGGCTCCTGTGAAGGTGCTCTCAGGGAGCACGGGCAGCTGTTGTCTAGGATGAGGGCCCTGGAGCACTTGTGCCTCTCTGGATTTCCTGTTGAGGGTTCATGGTTGACTTTGTAACTGAGCAGTACCCCTTGTGAGTTTGTCATTTATCAAATTTCTTAAACCTCTGAGGTTAAACCTAAGAGTATATTCCATACCAGGGCATCACTAAGGTAACTATCTCCCTTCCTTTGAGGTAGATTGGAAAAAGTTAGTATTTACATTGTTAGGATAAATACATTTTTTAAAAAAAATTTATTTAAAAAATTTAATACACTATAGTTTGATCATATTCTTTCTCTTACCCCAAATCCTCCCAGATCCTCCTCACTTCTTACCCATCCAACTTCCAGTTCCCCCTCTCGGATACATATATATGTGTGTGTGTGTGTCAGCCTGTCTCTTTAAAACAACACAAAGAAATAAAAGTCAAAACAAACTAAAAATAAACCAGTAAGACAGAATAACGAAACGAAAGCACAGTGGCAACAACAACAAACAATATGGAGTCTGTCTGTTGGCCAGCTACTCCTGGACACGGGGCCAGCCCTGGAGTACAGTTGATGAACCCAGGGACAGTTCATGGAGAAAACGGATTTTCCCTTTGCCAGCAGCTACCAGTTGCAGATAGCTTCTTAGGGGACAATGAAATTTTGTTTGTTTTTGCTATGACAATATTTTGGGGCTTGGAGACAGCACAGTGAGTGAAGCACTTGTGCGTGAGGAGTCTGACAGTCTGCTTGCTGGGCGGAACCCACGTAAAGGTGGGGGAGAGAGAGCTGCCTTCACAGAGCGCTCCCACTTCACACTGTTGCCACGCGTGCGACACCTGTGTATGTAGCACCCCACAGCCCCTCCCACACATGATACTGTAAACAAAACAAGAAATACATCACAGTCTTCCATGATACAGTCACTGCCTTTGTCTTGAAGTGTCCTGTGTTCTGCCCTAGGGGAGAGGAGGGACAGAAAGTGGAAGGAGAGATTAGGAGTGGATGCTAATCTGTGTTTGTTTCCTTCTCAGTTTCCTTCTGTACTCAACAGTCATGGACCATTCACTCTGTCTGGCCTGGATGGACCTTCCACTCCAGGCCCGTTTTCTCCAGACCTACAGAAGACATAACCAGTGCAGTTGTGGACTGAGAGACCAAGGAACTAGGACATAGACATCCACCGTGACTCGGTTCAAAGTGAGGGATAGTTCTGCAGAGCTCATGAGAGACTGTTGTGAATTTTCCCACTGCCTGTTGACAAGCCTTTCCAGGACTCTCAAAAGTTGGACTGTACAAAAAATGCCTTAATTGGAGTCCAGACTCCATCTCACTTCTTTTTTTTAAAAGGTATTTTGTTGTTGTTGTTGCTGTTTTGTTTTTGTTTTTAAGCTTTGTGCAAAAAAACATTGGTCTGTTGGGGTTCAGCAGCTGTGTTTCTCAAGAGAGTCACAGAACAAAGTCACTGGTCCTGAATGTTAGGAACCTTCTTTGGCCAGGGGAAAAAAGTATGCTTAGAGTCTGTTACTTTAAGAAATACTTGTTAGCTATGTATGATGGCCCACTTCTGCAGTCTCAGCACTTGGGAAGCTGAGGCTGGAGGAGGACACCAAGGATGGAGGGCCAGCCTGGGCTAGATGTATGCGTCTCAAAAAGACAAAAATACTACTAAGTGAAACTAGTAGTATATTTAGTAGTGAGTGCGCTCTGTTGAATGTCTGAAGGCAGCTGCTCGTCAGCAGTAGGAGAAACCTTAGGATTGGCCATGCTGGGGCTCTGTTTTACTGTGAGCTCTGACGTGACAGTTCCACAGAAAGGCATTTTGTTTGCCACTTACCTGAGTGGATCTCTGCCATCCGTACCCTTGATCATGTCTGAAACTGTCACTCGGCCCTGAGCTATTTTAACACAAGACTTTGAAAGCTTGGCTTTAATGTGGGTCTTGGAACCTTCTGCGAGGATAGGAGGTCTTACTGTGAGCACAGATCTCTGGTATGTGCTTTGAACGGCGTGGTTCTGAATCCATGCAACACAGCAGGCAAATGGTGATTTTTTTCAGGAGAGTAGAGTTGTAGTTTGAAAATTGAAAATGGCAAGCAACCAAAAAGGTTCAGTTAAATACCCTGAGACAGGAGGTGGGATTTTGCCAGCTAGAAGACCCCCAGAGTGACAAGCCCCTTTTCTTCTTGCCAATTTAATCCACTTCTGCTATGCGCTTAACATGCTACTTCCTTTTAAATTTAAGGTCAGAGGATGAAGCAGTGTTTAGGTATAATCAGGAAGGCAAACTCCAAAGTGAAACTTAGCCAGTTAGCTGGAGATGCAGACATGGTTATTTCTTTCCAAAAGTGGTTTAACTTATGGAAGATCAGATTGCATCTGACCATTCTCATACATAGGAATTTGGTTATTAAATTAGTAATGAGAAGTAGGGGCTTTCATCTGCATATTATGAAATACTGTGTGGTAAGACAGAGCCAGATGTGTACAGATACATTGATCTCGAATTGATGCTAATTTCACAGTGGAATCTTGAAAACTTTGACTCTAAAGTCCAGAACTAAATTAAATTACACGTTCTTCCCCCTGCCCATTAAACCCTAGACGTGACCTGAGTGGCGTAAAGGAGGGGCTTGTGGGCTCAGAATGACACTGATCCCTGGTGGCATCTTTTCAGCTGCGTGGCATTGGCTGTCCAGTGCAGAGACACTTAAGTATGGACGTGTGTGCTGGCTAGGGAGGACGGCAGTGCCTTTTAGAGGGGTAGCTGGAGACCTGTTACTAATTCATTTGTGGTTATCTCAAAGTTCTGTTCCCAGGATGTGCAATAGTGATGTTGAGAAGTGGTGTTCAGAGTGATGGGAACAGCCACTGTAATGGGCTTTCTTCCCATGGTGCATTATTTACTTTGCATGCATATTTGGAATTACCCTCAGCAGCACTTTGTAGTAATTTAGTGGGTTAATATTGTGTAAACTAAGTAAGTATTGGTAGATGACCCAACTAAATGTTTGAAAGTATGAAACCATAAAAATACTTTTATCTTCTTGAGTTAAAGGAGAAAAGCCATTGCTTTGTTTTCACAGATGAAATATTTGGTAATTTTCTGTCTTAGCACAGAGCTGCCTTGGGTCCGAAGGCATCATTTAAACTCAGGCCAGGTGTGATAGCACAGGTCTGTAATCCCAGCATGTGGGAAATGGAAGCTGGAGGATCAAGAGTCAGGGCTAGCCTCAGCTACATAGTAAGTTTGAGACTAGTTTAGACTACAAGAGACCATGTCTCAAAAAAAAAAAAAAAAAAAAAAAAAAA